CAAAGTGCCCCAAGCCACTCCCACCGCACCTGAGGTACTCCTGCCAGGCTCAGCCCCCCAGGAGCTGTGCCCAGGGTGGGATGCTGAGCCCTCTCCTGCTCTGTGCCCAGGAGCAGACCCCGCAGCCTCCCAGAGCCAGCCAGCAGCTACACCAACCCAGCCTACTTCATCTTCGAGGGCATCCCCAACTCGTGGATGTCCGCCCCTGGTGCAACCCACAGCAAGCAGGCAGAGAGCCCAACTGGGAGCCAATGGAGCCGGAGCCCCCCTGGGGCACAGGTCCCTTCACCCTCGGAGGAGGAGCACTGGGGTCGGCGCCGCTGTGGACCACCAAGCCCATCCCATGGGCCACTAAGCCCCCGCGGTGTGGGCCAGCAGAAGAGACCCAAATCAGCCATCCTGGGGCCAGGGGACTGCTCTCTGCCAGCACTGCAGGTGGCACTGGGCCAGCTGGACCAGGTGTGCCCCAAGCACACGGGGGACAATCAGGAGCGCCAGAGCCACCGCCTCCTGGAGCCACCACCGCGGCCCCACCGGGACCCACCGAGGCCACTGGGAAAGAGAGGAGCTCTGGGGGCTTTGGACCTGGAGGCTCAGCCTCCTCACACGGCAGATTTGCAGCCTGCAAGGATGTAGGAGCTTCGTGCCCAGCCCTGCCCTGAACACCTTCGGCAGCTGCTCCCTCCTCCAGGGCCATTCCTCCCTCCTCCAGGGCCATTCCCACAGGCCAATTCCCCACTCTCTGTGCTGCTGGTTCCTTGCAGGATATCCCGTGCTATTCCTACCCAGAATAAAGTCTCAGGGACTGTGTGTGTGTGTGCATAGCTGGCTCTGTGCAGGGGTGAGCCGAGCTGGGTGGGGAGACCACCAGCTCCTGATGCCCCATCTGCTCCAGGGCATTGCCCACACCTCCCACTGCTCCCTGGGATCCCTGCACACCCCAATCCTTGAGGTTGGTCCTATGGGGGTCCCACACAGGGCTGAGCTGGCTGTGCCCCTCGGAATGTACCCACCTAGCCCTGCACACACAAAATGCCTCATGGCTCTGGTCCCCATGAGCGAAGGGCTGTGGTACCCATGGGCAGGGGAACACAACCCAAGGATGAGGAGCTATGACTCTTGTGGCTGAGGGATTCTAGTCCCCATGAGCGGAGAGATGTGGCCCCCATGGATGAGGAGCTTTGGCCCTTGTGTTTGAGGGACCCATGGAGAAAGAGCTGTGACCCCACAGGTGATGCTCACACACCCCATGTCCAGGAGGCTGCTGTGGGGGCTACAGGTGACCCAAAGCCTGTGAGGGCGATGGAGGGATGGGAGTGCAGTGGGGCTGAGCCCTGGGGCAGCTCCTGCCTCTGCCCGCCTCCAGCCCTGCCTCTCTGGGCACTTTGCTCCCAGCCGTGGGAGAACAGGAGCTGGCACACTCGGCACGGCACGGGGCAACCTGCAGCTTCAGCATGACGCCCTGCCCCGGGGGGGACAGGCACTCCCCAAGGGTGTCCCACTCCTGAGAGACACCCAGGACTGCAGGTGAGCTGGGGCAGCACAGGGTGGTGACAGCAGGTGGGACTGTCCTACCATGGCCATGCAAACCCAGCAAGGGGCAGGGATGGGGGTGAGGGACACAGATAGGGGTGAGGGACACGGATGGGATCCCCAGGGCTGGATGGGTGCAGAGTGATTATCATCCAGTTCTCCCCATCCCTCCACTATCCCCAAATCCTTCTGCTCCTCCTCCTCCCAAACCCACCACCACCTTTCGCCATCACTCAGGATGTTCATCCTTCCCAGCACAGCCACCTCCTCTCCTTCCTCCTCCTCTCCATCCCCTAGATCACTGTTTCCTCACCAAGAAAAGGTGCCCTGGGGCTGCCACAGCTTAGCCAGACCTTTGGGCTCCTGCCGGGTCCCAGGGAGGTGAGGGACAGGGACAGCCCAGCCAGGGGTGAAAGGAAACCCTCCCCTGCTGCAAAAGGAGTCACCTCAGAGCAGGGGAGTGATGGAAGTGCCTGAGCCCACTGGTGTCCTCGGGGAGGTGTCCCTGTGCCCGGCAGAACAAGCTTTGGCTGCTCCTGCTGACCAAGGGAAGGGAAGGATTGGAATTAGGTCATGTCCCCTTGTGCTGAGGCTTTGCCTGCACCAACCACGTGGTGCTTAGGGACAAGGGTCCTTCTGCAGGATGTTTGGCATAATTTCCTCTTGTTCTGCAAGTTCCAAGAGCTTAGGAGAGAAGAAAAGCCCTGTTTTCCCTCTGCTCCAGTAGCAGCATGTCCCAGGCTCACCCATCCCCGTGTCCCTCAGTGGCTGCTCCCAAATCCACTCTCCCCTGCCCTCTCCAAGCTCCTGCTTGCAGCTCCAGGATTCCCAACATCACAATTCCCATCCTGTCCCACCAGCAGGACTTTGGCTTCGGGGCAGAGTCTACTCTGGCACTTCCCTCCTCATTCATTCCATTGGTGCCTTCTCAATGCCTCCATAAATTCCCAGGGCTGGCAGCCTCATCTAGCTGCTGGGGGTGGGATGGCCATGGGTCCCACCAGGGCTGGAGCTGCTGGTGGGGCCAAAGGACAGCTCAGGCTGGGCATGACCGTGGGGTCAGGAGCCAGAGCAGAGCTCCTGTTCCTGTGGCAAAGGGCAGTACTGGTGGCCCTGTGGCTGTCTCCTGCCCTTTCCTGCTGGTGCGTAGCTGGCTCTGTGCTTTCCAGGACCCCTTGGTGCTCCCCAGGGTACATGGAGGGCCAGGCACTATCCCAGGGGGATGTGCTTGCCATGGGCAAGGGATTCAGCTGCATTGTAGCCCTTGTGAGGCTACAGAACAGGCAGGGCAGGAGTGGGAGTCACCTCCCCAGCTCCATGTCCTTCCCTGCAGCACCTTCCATCTCTCCATCTCCTTCCCTGCAGCACCTTCTCAGCTCCATGTCCTCTCCCTGCAGCACCTTCCATCTCTCCATCTCCTTCCCTGCAGCACCTTCTCAGCTCCATGTCCTCTCCCTGCAGCACCTTCCATCTCTCCATCTCCTTCCCTGCAGCACCTTCTCAGCTCCATGTCCTCTCCCTGCAGCACCTTCCATCTCTCCATCTCCTTCCCTGCAGCACCTTCCATCTATCTCCATGTCCTTCCCTGCAGCACTATCCATCTCCTCAGCTCCACTGATTGTAGTGGTGACAAAGATAAGGAAGCAGGAAACCTGCTGAGCTAAGGATATTTGGCAAGTTGCCTTCTGCAGTTTGATTTTTTGGGGGTTATCCTCAAAGGAATGTGCTTGGGAGTGGTTAAATTCTGCTGCTGACTGTGCTGGGGCTGCGTCAGCTGCCAGAAGTTGGAGCCCTGTGCTCTCCCCTGAGCAGCTCAGCACCACAAAGCCCCTCAGGACTTTTCCTTAGTTCCTCACACTAGATTTGTCATTTTTATTCACTGCCTCCTTCACATCTTGGTTCTTTGGTGACTTGTTCCATGGCCACTGGACCCTGCAGCACCTCCACCCTGGCCAGGCTCAAGGTTTGTGCTCACTTGCACTCAGAGGTTGGAAGAGGAAAACAGACATTCCAGTCCCTCATGTCCTTGGCAATGACACAACTTGGGACCATCACTGTCACCTCACTCAGAGGCTCAGTGTTTTCCCTCCTGGTTCTGGGAAAGCAAACCAAGTTCTTCCCACTGTTAATGTTTGATCAGGACCTGCCTGTTGCTCTCTGAACTCATCCCTGTCATAAAGGCTGGAGCTGTGCTCGGGGAGTGTTCGCGGGGAGCCACAGGGTGTTTGATGTCAGCCCAGAGCCACGGCTCACCCTCAACTCAAACAGAGCCCCTGCAGGGGCTGTGGCCACCCCTGCCCAGCTGCTCCTGAGTCATTTATGATCATCTCTGTACACATGGGGTGTCTCTCCAGGTGAAGTGTGGCAGGGAGAGGATGGAGAATAGCTCAGGTGATCCCATGGATACGCCCTATGGGGTAGTCCTGCCAGGAGAAGCCTGAACATCCTCATGGTGACAGATCATGTGGGCACCTCAAAGGTTGGGCAGCTCAAGGGTTGGGCACCTCAAGGGGCTACCAGGAGGGGGATGATGAGGGAGCCTGAGAGGATCACAGGATTTTAGGGGTTGGAATGGAGCTCAGAGATGATCCAACCCCGCCCCCTGCTCTGGGCAGGGACACCTCCCACCAGAGCAGGTTGCTCAAGGCTCAGCCAACCTGGCTGTAAACACTGCCAGGGTTGGGGCAGCCACAGCCTTCCTGGGCAACCTGGGACAGCGTCTCACCACCCTCACAGGCAAAACTTTTTCCCAATATCTAAGATCTAGGATGCATCCTTCCTCCTTGTCCTGACACCAGCACCTTGCTAAGAGTCCTCATCTCCCTGAGCACTGAGTCCTCCTCCATCCTGGTGTCTGTCACCTCCTGGGTAAGCTCTGGACAACAGAAACTGGAGCTGCACCAGCATTGTGAATGTGGTGCTAGAAGCTTCCTCTTCCCTCTGGAAGGGGAGGATCTGAACCTCAGACATCCCAGGAGACAAACAGGACCCTTTGACAGCTCAGGCCTGAATTTCCAGGAGGATGCAGCTCCTTTGATCCTAACAGTGCAGGAGGAAAGGTCCTGCCCGCCTTGTGAGCTTCCACTGCTCCAGCTGGGACTTGGCTCCAGCACAACTCTCCACAGGGCTTAGCTCATCCCTCCCCTACAGAGAATCCCTAGCAGCTGAGACCCTTTGCTATCCAGGGACACTCCCCCAAAGGCTCCTTTAACACCCCCTCCAAGGATTCCTCCAGACCACAATGTTCCCCTAGACAATTCTTCCTTCTCCTCCCTCCTTTCTTCTGCCGAGGAGCTCTGTGGGACCAGCAGTGTTGTCAGGAAGGTGCCAATTAGGCTGAGGCTGCTGTGGCTCATCAAGGTCTCATTGTTCAGCACCCTTCGGCTCAAAGGGATGATTAAAGGGTGTCACCGCAGGGGCTGAGGAGGGGAGGGGTTGGAAGGGGTTGTCCAGTCCTCCCCCTTCCCTGCAAAGCCCCAACACAGTGGCTGAGAAAAACCAGAGACCCATCAAAGTGCTCAGAGCTCCTGCAAGGGAGGAAAATGTGGCATCTTTGGCTCCTGTCCTTGCTTTGTGCAAGGATCAGCCACTAATGTGCTTTTGTTAACTGCTCCCCCAGCTCTGGCTCCGAGGACATGGCCACTTCAGTGAGGACAGTCCCAGTTTCCCTGTGGACACCAACAGCCTGGCCAGGAGGGAACACCACAGCGGTGGAGGAGGCTAAGTGTGTCTTCAACGAGGAGTTCAAGTTCATCTTGCTGCCTGTCTCCTACAGCATCGTCTTTGTGGTGGGGCTGCCCCTCAACTCCTGGGCCCTGTGGATGTTCATCTCCAAGATGAGGCCTTGGAATGCCACCACCACCTACATGGTCAACCTGGCTGTGTCTGACACGCTCTACGTCCTCTCCCTCCCCACCTTGGTCTACTACTATGCCGACCGCAACAATTGGCCCTTTGGGAAGTGGCTCTGCAAGACTGTGAGGTTCCTCTTCTATGCCAACCTCTACAGCAGCATCCTCTTCCTCACCTGCATCAGTGTCCACCGCTACATGGGCATCTGCCACCCCATCCGCTCCCTCAAGTGGGTGAAGACCAAGCACGCGCGGATCATCTGTGTGAGCGCCTGGCTCGTCGTCACCATTTGCCTCATCCCCAACCTCATCTTCGTCACCACTAGCTCCAAGGGCAACAACACACTGTGCCATGACACCACCAAGCCAGAGGAGTTTGACCACTATGTGCATTACAGCTCCTCTGTCATGGCCTTACTGTTTGGATTGCCCTTCCTAGTCATTGTCCTGTGCTACTGCCTGATGGCCAAGAGGCTCTGCGAGTCCAACTTCTCCACCCCTAGCCCACGGATGCCTTCCTACAAGAAACGCTCCATCAAGATGATTGTTGTTGTCCTCGCTGTCTTCGCCATCTGCTTCGTGCCCTTCCACATCACCCGCACCCTCTACTACACCTCCCGCTACATCCAGGCCAACTGCAGGACCCTCAACATCATCAACTTCACCTACAAGATCACAAGGCCCTTGGCCAGCATCAACAGCTGTCTTGACCCCATCTTGTACTTCATGGCTGGGGACAAGTACCGGGGGAGGCTGCGCCGGGGGCCAGCCCAGCGCCTCCGACCTGTGCCCTCCTGTGACCTGGCCCTGGTGTCACCCTTCGCAGACAACATCATAGATGGCAACCACGTGGCCAGTGTCACCACAGGGACAGCAGGGAGCAGAGCTGGGTGCTGAGGGACCAAGGGGGTTCCATAACCTCATCTCCAAGCTCCAGGAGTTGTAGCCCATCCAGAGTCTGTGTGGGCTGAGGGCCCAAAGGAGGTTCCATAACCTCATCCCTGGGCTCCAGGAGTTGTATCCCATCGAGGTTCTGTGTGGGCACCTCCAGGTCCCCAGACCTGACCTGCTCCTGCCCAGTCACTGCAGGGGCTGAGGGCTGGTGACCACAGGGCTGGTTGCCATGGGGCTGGTCCCAGCCCTGCCCTAGGATGCTGTGGGTAGAGGATGGCTGGGTTGGTTGAGGCAGGAGCTGAGCACCCATGGGAATGGGCAGGATGGTGGGAAGGTGGTTTTGGGGAAGCAGGATGGTGTCCCATCCTGGAATGCTCCTGGGGGCTGACAGCTCACTAAAGAGAAGGGTCAGTGGTCCCTCCCTGGGCAGGAACAGCCGTTCCAGACTGTTTGGTTGGGGACTTTACTCAAGCAGGGGATGGAGCCCACACTGGGATCACTGTGTGCCTGGTTCCAAGGCTGTCAGAGGGTCATGTTTGTCTCTTGGGATGTCTGAGCTTCAGAGCTCTGCTCTCCAGAGGGAAGAGACAGCTTCTGCCACCACCATGTCATCCAGCAAAGGATTGGTGCACACTGCCAGCACCTTGGCCCCTCCATGCTCATCACCATCCCTGGTGAAATGATTCCTCCAGGTTGGATGTCACACCACTGGCCTTGGGAGAGGGGGAGGGACACAGCATGGGGTACCTACTGCCCATCATCCCCCAATAAAGCCCCTTGCCCTCTCTCTACTCTCAATCCTGTTTCTTCCTGCAGCAGGAGAAATGACAAGACACTCACCTGGCCCTGGAGAGCAGCCAGGGTGGCACCAGGGCAGGCCTGGAGCGATGAGCCTGTGACATCGGCTCCTCGGGAATCTGCCTTTATGGGTGTTTGCTCCTCAAATGTTTACCCAGCCCTTTTGTTTGACCAAGTGCCTGCCAGGGGAGCAGGCAGAGATGGCTATCAGTGCTGTAGACTCTCCCAGTCAGCCTGGCAGGGGTGGCACAGGGCTGGCCCCACCAGGAGGAGCCTCAGGATGGGCTCTCCCCATTGTCCCCAGGAGTCCTGGCTGTCCCCATTGCCCCCCATGAGTCCTACCAGCTCAAACCTAGGGAAGGGACACCAGAGCATCATCAGGGTGTCACTCCCAGTCACAGCACTGGTCACACAGAGCTACATTCCACCTGGAGCTGCCTAGGTCACCCAGGGAGGAAGAGTATCCCCATCCCAGCCCCACATCCCCATCCCACCAGCAGTGGTGCCCACAGAGCCACTCACTCACCACTGAGCCGAGAGCAGAAGACCTTCCTGAGCCCAGTTAACCCAGTAGGAGCAGCTGCTGCTCTTTATCTCCTATTATACCCAACATGGCCCAGGTGCAGCCAGGAGCTGCTTGGCTGCACCTGAGTGGTGCAAGGAGCCCTGCCAAGCACAGCCCTGGCTGGAGATGGGACTGCCAAGGAGGGCACGTGGTGGGGGGAGTTGCCCCTCATGGGGAGTGCAGGGCTATGGCCTCAATCCTGCCCCCCAGAACACACAGAGGCAGGAGTTGGGGAGTTGGAAATCTGTATTGGGCACAGAGGCGGCAGCAAAGGCTCATCTGGGGCCACATGGTCCTGGCTGAGGCCACTTCCACAGGTCCCCAAGCCCAGGAGTGTCCCTTTCCACCCCAAGGCGGGATGTCCCCCATCCTGGTCCCAAAGAGCTCATCTCATTCCCTCCTCCCATGACACTCCTCCCTCAGCTTGTGGTGACCCTGGGGGGCCCATGCCCATCGCTGGCCCCACACCAGCCCCTCCCAGGGGACAGCTGTGTCACCCACAGCCCCTCAAACCCCTTCCAAGGGGACCCTTTCCCAACTTCCCCCTCTCTTCCTCCTCTCCTCCTGCCTCTTGCAGGTGTTTGGACCAGAGGAGCAGAGGGCAGGAGTGGGGACTGTCCCCTGGGTGTCCCCCAGGCTGGGCTGGCTGGAATCCCCACCCAAGTGGCCCCATGAGCCAGGCCCATGGCGCAAGGAGGGAGCCGCCGGCACTGGCCACGCTCAGAGGATGTGCAGCTCATCCGTCTCTGACAGCCCATACTTGGTCTTGTTCTCGTTGAAGAGCTTCAGCAGGGCATGGATGTACTTCTCATGGTACATGTCCACCATCTCCCGGCTCGGGTTCTGCACCTTGGGCACCACCACTGGCTCTCCCACTGCCGGGGGAGGATGGGTGGAGGTCAGACTGGTGGTGTGGGGATGCACTCAACTCATCGGGGACATGAGTGGAGCCTTCCAGCACGACCCACCACGGGGTGTCCCTCCTCTCCCCTCTCCTTCTGGGGTGTCCCCTCCACCCCAGCTGCTCACCCACAGTGGTGATGGGCCTGGCATAGGGCAGGAAGCCCCGGGACTGGACAGAGGTGAGTCCACGGCCATAGAAGACACAAGGAGCAAAGCCCATCATCTTCTGGAAGCGCTTCTGGATGCTCCTCATCCAAGTGCCCTCCTCAAACACCACCTGGCGGAACAGGTCGTTCTCCCCAAAGGAGAAGGAGGGGACGAGGTAAGCCCTGTGGAGAGGACACGGTGGGTGGGGATGGAGACCCTCTGGTCACCGTCTGGTGGTTACCAGTGGAGGGGGTGGAGGTGGCCTCGACCCACCCGTGCTGCAGGGCCATGCGGACGAAGCCCTTGCGGTTCTTGAGGACCAAGGTGGTGAGGCCAGGGCGGCAGGAGAGTGACTCAGCCGCGCCGCCGATGACGATGGCTACCGCGTTGCCCATGCCGTTGTGGGACAGAAGGTGACCGATGGCACGGCGAGTCACCGGGAACAGGCCTGAGAGGATGGAGTAGGGTGGGTGGGGCTGCACTTCTGTCAGGATCCACCAGGGATCAGGATCCTCGAGGGATCACACAAAGGATCTCACCAGGGACTCCACCAGGGATCCCACCAGGGATGTCACAAGTGATGCCACCAGGGAATCACACAAGGGACCCCACCAGAGACCTCTCCAGGGATTCCTCAAGGGAACCCTGAAGGGATCCCACAGGGGGTCACGCAAGGGATCTCACTAAGGACTCCTCCAGGGACCACATAAGGCATCACACAAGGGACCCCATCCCTCAAGGGATCCCTGAAGGGATCACACAAAGGGCTCCACAAGGGATCCCATGGTCACTCAAGGGATTACACAAGGGTCACACAAGGGACCCCACCAAGGATCCCACCAGGGACCCCTCAAGGGGTCACACCAGGGGTCACAGTAGGGACCCCCAAAAGGGATCCCACCCGGTGGGACCACTGCAAGGGACAGTGCTAGGGCGCCACCTGCTGCGGGCAGGGACAGGCAGGGACGGGCAGGGATGGGCAGGGTGCAGGCAGGGTGCAGGCAGGGCACAGGGAAGGGTTTGGACAGGGCACAGACAGGACACAGGAGGGTGCAGACATGGTTTTGGCAGGGCACAGGCAGGGTGCAGGCAGGGCACTGGTAGAGTGTAGGAAAAGTGGAGGCAGGGTGTGGGCAAAATGTGGGCAGGGTGCAAGGCAGAGTTTAGACAGGGCACAGGAGGGTGAAGACAGGGTGAAAAGTGGAGGTGTGGGCAAAATGTGGGCAGGGTGCAAGGCAGAGTTTAGACAGGGCACAGGAGGGTGAAGACAGGGTGCAGGTAGGGCAGGGCACAGGTGCAGGCAGGGCACTGGTAGAGTGTAGGAAAAGTGGAGGCAGGGTGTGGGCAAAATGTGGGCAGGGTGCAAGGCAGAGTTTAGACAGGGCACAGGAGGGTGAAGACAGGGTGCAGGTAGGGCACAGGCAGGGCATGGACAGAGTGTAGGCAGGGTGTGGGAAAGGTGTGGGCAGAGTGAACGGCAGGGTCCAGGCAGGGCACAGGCAGAGTCACTGGTAGAGTGTAGGAAAAGTGGAGGCAGGGTGTGGGCAAAATGTGGGCAGGGTGCAAGGCAGAGTTTAGACAGGGCACAGGAGGGTGAAGACAGGGTGCAGGTAGGGCACAGGCAGGGCATGGACAGAGTGTAGGCAGGGTGTGGGAAAGGTGTGGGCAGAGTGAACGGCAGGGTCCAGGCAGGGCACAGGCAGAGTGCAGACAGGGTGCAGACAGGGCACGCTGGAGGGTGCAGACAGGGTGCAAGGCAGGGTTTAGACAAGGTGCACACAGAGCACAGACAGAGCACAGAAAGGGTGCAGACAGGGCACACAGGGCACAGACAAGGTGCACACAGGGTGCAGACAGCACAGACAAGGCGCACACAGGGCATAGACAGGGCACAGACAAGGTGCACACAGGGCACACAGAGGACACAGGGTGCACACAGGATGCACACAGAGCACAGACAAGGTGCACACAGGGCACACACAGGGTGCAAAGGAGCTGAGGAGGGAGCTCAGGCAGGGCGCGGGCAGAGCTCCATCCCTTCCCTGCCTGCTCCAGAGCAGCGCAGAGCCCCCAGCCCTCCTTTCCCGCAGTTGGCACTAGAACCCAAGAGCTTCTGCCCGTGAGCATCTCCGCGGAGCCGCATCCCGGCGGGGCAGAGCCGCTCACCGCCGCTCATCAGGTACTCGCGGAACAGGGGCAGGGCGGAAAAAAAAAAAGGAGCGGATCCCCGGGAACAGCTCCTCGAAGCCCGTGGAGCCCGTGATGAAGTTGCAGAAGGCACCGACGCAGAGGATGCCGTGGGGGTGGGAGCCGATGATGTAGTTGCGGCTAGGGGACAGGTCGTGTGTCTTCACCAGCTGTGGGGGCAAAAAGAGCCATGGGGACTTCGACAGTGGCACATCCCTTTTGGCTTCTGCGGGAATATCCCGTCCCAGCACTGTACCTTCACAGGGAAGTAATCCCGAAAGTGCTTCCACACGGTCCATCGCCGCAGGCACGGCAACCTCCTCCCACCTGCACACCGGGGAGGGACCGCGGCGGGTGATACTCACCCCAGGGGCAGCAGGATCCGCGGGAAACACTCCCCACGGATCTCCTGCATCCCTCTGCCCACAGGGGTGGGGATGGTGGGGAGAGGAGGGAAGGAGAAGGTGATGGTGATGGGGAGAGGAGGGAGGGAGGAGGTGATGGTGATGGGGAGAGGAGGGAAGGTGCAGGTGTGATGTGATGCTCCCCATTTGCCATGCTGGGAAGGACCTGGAGAAAGGATGGACCCTGCACCCTACCCTGCTGCAAAGCTGGAGGAAGGGGCAGCAGCATTCATGGGAAACACTCCCCACGGACCTGCTGTATCCTTCTTCCCAACATGGTGATGATGATGGAAAGAGGAGGGAAGGAGAAGGTGGTGATGATGGGAGAGAGGAGGGAAGGAGAAGGTGGTGCTGATGGGAGAGAGGAGGGAAGGGGGGGTGGTGTTGAGGGGAGAGAGGAGGGAAGGAGAAGGTGATGATGGGGAAGAGGAGGGAAGGAGAAGGTGATGATGGGGAGAGGAGGGAAGGAGCAGGTGGTACATGGTGCTGCCCATTTGTTGGGAGGGACCTGGCCACAGAGCACCCCTCCTGCTGCACTGCTGGAGGCAGAGTGGCCATTCCCCTCCCCACCTTTCTCCGGTGTGTCCCAGTCGAAGATGATCCAGGCCAGGTAGAGCACGGAAATGGGCCAGAAACTGGTGAACACCAAGTAGATGAGGACCAAGAGGCTGACAGTTCCTGTGGGAGCCAGGGAGGGGGTGAGTGGCTGCATTCCCACCCTGGCCCCCAGAGCCCTGTACTCACCGAGCAGCAGGAAGCTGAGCACCCACTGGAGCACGGCGAGGAGCTGGAGGCAGGAGCGCACGTCGCGCTGCCAGGGCCAGGGCACGGCCAGCAGCCTGCGCAGGGTGGGCTGGATGCTGCCACGGCTGCCTGAGGGGTGGGGGACACCCCCAGCCCAGAACAGCATGGATTACACACAGCCTGGGCTGCTGGGCTAGGGGGGACATCCAGCGGGGCGAGGGTTGGGTGGCGGGATGTGGGATGGGGAGGATGAGCAGTTGCATGAGGAGGGATGGGGATGGTCATCATCAGAGAGCTCTGGACTGGGCCAGGAGGTGGCCTTGGGCAAGCTGAGGGTGCTCTGGGGACAGCACTGTTCCAGCTGCCAGCTTGGCACCACAAAGTCTCCATGCACTGATAGAGCTCAGCACATGGCACATCCCACACTGTGTTCCCAGGGGCAGCACGGCCCAGGCTGGCCAGGGAAGGAGTGGATTCCCCAGCCCTGGCAGTGTTCATACCCAGGTTGGCTGAGCCTTGGGCAACCTGCTCTGGTGGGAGGAGTCCCTGCCCAGGGCAGGGGATTGGGGCTGGATGTTCTCTAAGCTCCATTCCAACCCCGAAAATCCATGATTCTATGATCTTTTCCATGCCCTCCTTGGCATGCTCAGGCTCACAGAGGATTTGGGCCTTTCTCAGCTGGCACAGCAGGGAGGTAACAGCCCCAGCAAGTGTCAAGGCCAGTGGCCAGGGCCGAGCTGAGGTGGGCAGGGGTGGTTATCCCAGCGCCATCCCTCAGCCTTGTCTCCTGCAGAGACACTGCAGAGCCACTGCTGCCTCACTCCCCAGCCCACCCTTTCCTCTGCCTGACCTTGGTGAGCCATTAACCACCCTGGGCTGGCTGCCAGGATCCAAACTCCACACACAGCCCCATCCCTCCTCCCCAGACCGGCTCTGCTTCTGGCCAAAGGTCCTCCATGGCCCAGATCACCTGCACGGCCACTTCTGTGACCAGTGAGCTGCCCTGGGTGTCTCTGGGTGTCCCAGGCTCCTGGTTCTCCTGGGATAACAACCCAAAAGCTGCATCGTGTTGGCCAGATAGATATTCAGGCTGACACAGAGCAGAGCTGTTCCTGTGGCTCTCCAGGCTGGGACACTCAGTTCCCCAGGGACAGAGGAGAACCACCAAACCCTGTTTGGGGTAGTGGAGGTTTCACTCTTCCCAGCTTAATCCAAACCAGGAGTGGAACAACTGAAATAGATTAAACACTGGAGCCATCAGACACATTGGGGAATTGTTGTCCCTTTCTTGCAAACTCCACAACCAGCCCCATTCCTTCTCCCCAAATCAGCTCTGCTCCTGGCCAAAGCTCCTACACAGCCCAGACCCCCTGCACAGACACTGCTGTGGCCACTGTGTGTCCCAGGAGCCTGGTTTTCCTGGGATAACAACCCAAAAGCTGCTTGCTGGCCACAGAGACATGCTCAGGCTGGGACAGAGCAGAGCTGTCCCCATAGCTCTCCAGGCCAGGGACACTCAGTTTCCCAGGGTTGGAGGAAAACCACCAAACCCTGGTTCAGGCAGCTGGAGGAGGTTTAACTCCTCCCAGCTCAATCCAAACCAGGAATGGGACAACTGAAATTAATTGAACCCTGGAGCCATCACCAGCACTGGGGAATTGTTGTCCCTTTCTCCCAAAGCAGCATGCCAGGAACTGCTTGATCCCTCCCATCCATGCCCACACCCCTGGGCACAAGGTACCATGCTTTCCTGCCATTCTCAGCTCTCCCATGTCCCACTTTTCCCAGGGAAGACACAGAAGTGTTCCCAGCAAACTTGTGCTTACCAAACAGTTGCTTTTTAGTTTCATAGTGTCATAGTCTCATAGTATGTTAAGGGGTTGGAATGGACCTTAGAGATCATCTAGTCCCTAGTTCCTCTTCCTAGCTCCCACCCCAAGCACTCCATGAATGTCCACATGGACAGCCCCATCCACAGAGACAGGAGCCTCTTCAACCCAAACCCTTGGAATCTGTAGTGCTCCAGAGCATCTTGGAGCATTAACAGTCCCAAACGCACTGCCAGAAGTTCCATCCCTGTCTACCTTCCCATAGAGATTCCCACAAATCACTCCCAACACCTCCCTCTCCTCTCAGCACTCCAAAGCAAGTAGACAACAGTGACCACAACCATGTCCAGAGCATCAGGGCCCATCCCAAGCCCTCTCTGAGAGCCTCTTACCGCTGAGGTTCTGGGAGCAGGCAGCGATGATTGTTTTCATGGTGGCAGGAGCTCAGCGCCTGCCCCCGCAGCAGCAGGTTGAAAGGTGAGTTTGGAAATCCCAGAGGGCAACAGGATGTGTGTCCAGAGGCTTTAACCAGCTGACCCCAAGGTAAACCAGTGCTGCAGAGGGGAGGGACCTGCCCCAGCTTGGCTCTGGAGCCAGGACAGAGCTGGTGGTCTCTGAGAGGGTGAAGGGTCAGGTTGAGGATGACGAGCTACTGTGGAGAGAGGTGGTTGTTGCCCCTTGGAGTGGCCTGAGGGGCTTGGTGGGTATTGTATTCCCCCTGGGATGGTACTGGCCACGTTTGGGTGTTTCACAAACACTGTCATGCTGGAGAGGTGTGATTGCTCCCAGAGACACCCAACAAGCTCCTGTGCTGTGCAATGGGAGTGCAGCTGGAGAGCCTGCGGGCAGCACTGTCCCCTCCCCTTCCCTCAGGGCACTCCAGGCTCAGAGGGGGTACTAGGAATGTTTTCCCTGTTGTGGTGTTGAGGCCCTGGGATATTGTGGAGTCACTATCCCTGGAGGTGTTTCAGAGGTGTCTGGATGTGGCACTGGAGGATCTGGTTTAGGGTTTAGGGGTTCCAGCAGTGACAGGTTCATGGTTGGACTTGATTACCTTAGAGATCTCCTCCAACCCTGATGGTTTGATGATTCCACTCCTGTCTGTGACCCAGGAGGCCTGGAACACTGCCTGGAGAGGACTGGGGTGGGGGGGAAAATGAGAAGGAAGGAAGGGAAATAAGAACAGCAGAAAATCAGCACTGAGGTGCCAACAGCCAAAGGAAGAGTGAGAATCCACAGGGACTAAATCACTAGTCCTTCTCACCATCCACCTCTCCAGAGCTGCTTGCTGGGAATTACTGCCCTGTACCCCAAGAGTAGAATAGACTCATAGGGAATTCCAGAGCAGGAACTTGGCAACACAAAGAGTTTATTTTGCTTAAAATATAGAGGAAAAAAAGTAATAAATACATCCACCCACACTACGAAGAGTTCCCAATCCATGGACTTCCCTTTCCAGGGCTGCCTCTGCCTGGGAATGCAGAGGGAGCCTGACCCTCACAGAGCTCTGTGGCTTCCCTGCCCATGACCAGCCAGGCTGGCACGAATGCAAACCAAAGCAAGAGGTCATGTGTCCTCCCCCAATCCGGCGATCCCAGAGAATTCCTGGATCCTCCACATATGTACACTGTATTCCCTCTTCTCCCCCTCCAGGTTTTTCACAGCATGTCCAGGCCCTGCTGGCTCTGCAGCTGGAGCATCAGCCCATGTTATGCCTGTTGCCATAGCCCCTGGGGTGTGTGTCCTTCCAGTCGTCCCAATTCCGAGCCTTCTGCAGAGCTTCCTCATCATCCTCCTCCTCCTCCTTCTTCTCCTGCTGCTGCTTCTGCAGCTCTTCATCACTTCCACCTGCTGCAGGGGAGGGACAGGAGTCAGGGGGAGTGAAGAGATCCTAAAGGTCCCCAAAGAGAAGTCCTGCCAGGAGCTGGGCTGGGCAGACAGCAGCAATGGGAATCATGGAATGAGTTGGGTTGGAAGGAGCTTAAAGATCATCCCATTCCACCCCATGCCATGGCAAGGAACACCTTTCACTAGCCCAGGTTGCTCCAAGCCCCATCCAGCCTGGCCTGGAAGAGGCTAAGCACAACATCCAGTTGTCCCAGTCCTTGGTGCAGCAGCTCAGGCTCTGCCTCTGGAGGTGTTCCACACCCTGCACACCTCCCTGTCCACCCACACCCTCGAGACACTTCCCATACTCCCTGTTCCCATCCCTGTTCCATACCTGGTGCCCTCTGGGGCACACTCTGCCCAGACACCACTCCCTGCCTCCTGCGCTGCTCGTACCAGTCATTCACGGTCATGGTGGGCAGCCCGGGGTAGCCAGCTCCAAACACCCTGCAGGGCACAAAGAGGTTCTTCAGCCCCTCAGGAGGAGCACAGACATGGACGACAGGCACAGAATATTCCGTAACAAAAGCTGCACTAAGGATGTAAGGCATGTTATCCAGGAGGGATTGAGGGAGGCTTTGGGGTGACCTAATTGTGGCCTTGTAGTACATGAAGGAGCTACAAGAAAGATGGAGAGAGGCTATTGACAAGGCTTGGAGGGACAGGACACAGGGAATGGTTTCCCACTGCCAGAGGGCAGGGAGAGATGGGATATTGGGAAGGGATTGCTCCCTGTGAGGGAATCTACTGCCAGGGTTGGAGCAGCCACAGCCTCCCTGGGCAACCTGGGCCAGTGTCTCACCACCCTCACAGGAAAAACTTCTGCCTCACATCTAACCTCAATTTCCCTCCTTCAATTTGTTGTGTCTTTGCAAGGACCTCAGGGTGCCACAAACACAGGTGGAGACCTGAAGGTATCAACTGGTTTTCTGCCCTGGGAGGAGTATTTCAGGCTGGATGTGAGGGCAATGCCCCAAGCTGTGGTGAACCATCCCAACCCAACGTACCTGGCCTGGGCAGCATCGCGGGTGAGGATGAAAGGCCTCACAGGAGCTCTGGGAGGTCTGGAAGGGCCGTGGAGACCTGTTGGGGGCTGCAGAGCAAACAACAGTCACAAGGGCATTGTGGAGAGGAGAATCCTCCTCTCTGCTTCCCACCCCAGAGTTATTCCAGGTCTTGCAGAAGAGAAACACCTCTGCTGTCAGCAATGCCCCAGGGTGGACAACCCAGGCCTGAATCCAGCTTACATCCAGAATTCCAGCTGTGACTCTCTACAAGTCACTTCTTGTGCCTCAGAGTGTGCAGGGCTAGACCAGCTCAGCTCAGAGCAGGAATTGCCTATTGCTCCAGGGATCCAAAGTGGAGCATCCTGAGCTCATCATCCCTGATGGTATCACCAGGACTCTATGGATGAGCAGAGTCCTGCAGGGCCAGAAATGACCCTCCTAAACCAGGGGCTGTGTCAGCACAGCAGCAGTTGGTATTTCCAGCAGACATTCCCAGTGACACACAAAGCCCAGGGACAACATTCCACATAGGGATTGCAGGTCCATGAGAAGCTCTGGTCATTCCCAGTGGGCTGCTGTCTCTGGAAATAACACCTGGACATGCTGCAGATCAGAAGTGAAGGTTTGAAAGAAATCACAAGGGTCTTGTTTCAATTCACAAGTCATGCTGTGACTGAGCCCAATTCCAGCTGAGAATTCACAGACCAAAACTACAACTCTGGCCCAGAATTCCTTCGGGATTCTTTCCCCTCCAGCCATGTCCATCCCAGGTGTGTCCCCTCAGTCCTGTACCTGCCTCGCTGTCCCTCTGCTCCTCAGGATCACCATCTCCTGGTCGATGCTCTCAATCTCCTCCAGGCTGGTGCTGATCCACCTCTGGATCTGGAGGATGTAGAATTCCCGGATCTGGTCCTCATCTGCTGTCCCACTCTCCACTGAGCTTCTCATGGAGGCCAACTTGTTCTCCAGCTCCTTCTTCTGCTTGTACCTGGCCCAGGGAGGACACCATGAGCACATCCCAGTTGCCCACACCACGATCCCAGTTACTCCCACTTGTTCCTAGCCAGATCCCAGTTGCTTGTAGCCACTCCCAGTGGTTCTACTCACTTCCAGTAAGACCTCAGGCTCCACCAGAATGATCCCACTTGCTCCCTGTAGATCCCAGTTGCTCCCAATGTGGTCCCAGTTGCCCCATCATTCTCCTAGACACTCTCAGTATGATCCCAGTCACCTCTAGCATGGTCCCAGTTGCTGCCCTCAGTACATTCCATCGTGTCCCAGCTTTCCCAAGCTCTAATGGGGAGAACCTTCTCATAGAAGGGAACTCCCAAGGTAGATGGAGCCTCATGCTGTTTGCAGTGAGTGAAGAGCTAATTACAAGATGAATTATGAGAGAACTAAACAGTAAGACCTTTTCATAGAGTCACTGAGGTTGGAAAAGACCTCCAAGGTCATCAAGTCCAACCTGTGACCCATCACCACCTTGTCAGCTAGAGCAGAGCACTGAGTGCCATGTCCAGTGTCTCCCTGAACACCCTCAGGGGTGGTGACTCCACCACCTCCTTCCCATGCCTGACAGTCCTTTCCATGAAGAAATTCCACCTGATGTCCAAACTTTTCAGCAGCTTCTCCTCGAAGAGCAGACACTGAGAATGCAAATGCTGCTCCTCAGCCTGTGCACACCCAACACCACAACCTGCTGCACCTCCTAAACTGAACATCTCATGACTCAGTTATTCTGACATCCAGGGAATCAGCTCTTCCATGACATCCACAGCCTGTACAACCCCACACTACTTCCTCCACCCATCCCCAAAGCCTTTGCCCAGAGCTTACCTGTCGATTTTGGCTTTCCTGCTCATGGCCATGGCCACCAGGTTGGGCTGGGCACCCATGGCGTCCCCTGGGGCTGGGAAGCTCCCTGTTCCCTCCTCCCCAGCGGTGCTGGAGGAGGTGGCAGGAGGCAGCTGGAAGTTGCCCAGCCCATAGCTCCTGCAGAGCTTGAGGAAGCGATAGAAGTGATCCCTGGCAGTCTCCAGGTGCTCCAACCTCCTGCTCAGGTCCACCTGCTTCAGCGTGAGAGCTCCCAGCAGTGCAGGCAGCAGCAGGTACTTGAGGTCAGTTGAGGGGATCTCCTCCAGCTCCTCGTTCTCACTGCAAGGGAGAGACAAGTACTTGTGATCCTGAGCCCATCCTGAGCTCACAGAACAGAGATCAACTCAGTCCTGAGACACGATGGACAGGCTGAGGGAATTGAGGCTGTTCAGCCTGGAGAAGAGAAGGTTGTGTGGAGACCTCAGAGCACCTTCCAGGAGCTGAAAGGGCTCCAGGGAAGCTGCAGAGGGATCTGTGTTAGGAGCTGCAGGGACAGGACAAGGGGCAATGGGCACAAATTGAAGGAGGGAAATTGAGATTAGATGTGAGGAAGAAGTTGTCCCTGTGAGGGTGGTGAGACACTGTCCCAGTTTGCACAAGGAGGCGGTGGCTGCCCCAACCCTGGCAGTGTTCACAGCCAGGTTGGCTGAGCCTTGAGCAACCTGCTCTGGTGGGAGGTGTCCCTGCCCAAGGCAGGGGTTGGAATGGGATGAGCTTTAAGGTCCTTCCAGTCCAAACCACTCTGGGATTCTATGTGCACTGGTGAGGCCTCTTGGCCACGTTCACCCTCTGCTTTGTTGGGTTTTGTCACTCCATCCCAGCATAAGCAAACGAGGCCTAGTGCTGAGTAAAACCTTTCAGAGCCAGCCCCAATTCCTCACAGGGTTAGTCTACATATTTAACACTACCCAGAGAACTGATGGATGACCCATCCTTGGGAGTGTTCCAGGCCAG